TGGCCCTCTTCCTGGTTCTCACCCGTTTGAACTAATTACTGGACAGCTCTACTCTCTTCCATTTACTCCTTCTGTTGTCAAACAGAAGGTAACTTCTGGTGGAAGTTAAAAACCCTCTGCCCCTCTCAGCCCCAAGCCAACGGCATTAGTTCAGGTTCAAAACCCTAAATGCCTGCATCCTTATCATTATTCCTCTTATTCATTTTCTTATCTCTAGCATTCAGAAGGCAGTGCCTAACACATGCCTGTGGTTGACTGAATCCTTATCATTGCATAGTGCTTTAGGTTTTCTAAGTATTTTAAATACATTTACCTCATTCTTCTCCAGGCACCCCTGTGATGTTGCCATGGTGGATCACTGTGTATTACTTTATAGGAGAGGAGATTTGGAGACATCGAATGACTTGGCAATTTTTGAAACAGAGGCATGGCCACATGGAACACTGTCAGCTGTCAGAGGGGAAGTGGGAAGGGGGGCTGGAGGAAAGAAGGGGAAGGGAGTAGCCAAAGAGCAGGTATGTACAACCCACAGGCACCAACAGTGTGGTGATGACCAGAGGGAAACGGGAGCAGGAGCTGGGTGTGGGGGCGGGATATGGAGACACTGGCGAAATGTCAATAAAAGTTTTAAAAAGATTAACAAAATAAAAAGAAATGACTTGGCAAGATAAAGCTGTTAAAGTGAGTGAGCCAGAAAAACTGGTCCCTTGGCCTCTTAAGTCTCATTCCCTTTTGGTACGTCCACTACGTGGTACTCAGGAACATGGAGGCAAACACTTGGAAATAACAGGTCTACTGGATGTTAGGAACGTAAAGTCTGTCACAAACCATGAAAACTAGTTTTAGATTAAACCCAATCAGCAGAGTAGAACTTACCAATTAACTTCACACTATTGGCACAGAAATGGGCAAACTTGTTAAAAGACAGCAACAACTCATTTCCTATTTGAGAACACAGCTGAGGGTCAAGTATAAAATAAAATTTTATACATTTGGCTTAAGCTGTAGTTCAACGTACCCCTATTCAAAGCTTCTGACCTCAAAGCCTATTTCCTCTTTATTTCCATTTCTAAAAAGCTCAGGTATGAGAAACATAATGAAGACCAGACGGTCTGCTTACTGCTGTACTCCCAATCCTGGAATGCTGCATGACAGGCGAGGAGTAGGTGCTCAGCGGGTACTTGCTCTGGGAACTGTTCTGGGTGCCGCCTGCCCACACCCTAGGACAGTTTGGCTGAGCACAGCTCAATTTAGCTGCCGCACCGATTCCTTACTGCTGAACCCAGGTCCCGCTTAGCCTCCCAGGGCCAAAGGACAGAAGAAAAGAACCAAACACACTGACGGGCTGTGGATGCACAGCTGGTTTTCATAAGCAAACTTAGCAGTCATTTTGCAGCAGACGGCTCACAGAACAGTGAGTGACGGCTCTGTCGGTGCTTGTTGTTGGGTTGAAAGACCCAAGGTGAAATATCCTTTTTGGGCTAAAATACCCTTCTTGTGGCACTTAGTTTTATGTCTGAGTTCCATTTCATCCCTCTAAGCTAGGAGACAGGAGGGCAGTTAAGGAACCAAAGAATGGTCCAATTTAACCTTTAAGATATAATTTATGTATCTGGTGGGATTTCAGGACACAGGTATTTGGGATTTTGTGAAGCTGGTGTTGACATCTGTAATGTGAAGACCTACACCCCTAAAGTGCTCCAAGCAGGTCTGCTTTTTAGTCTATCAAACAATATATTCCACATACTGAGTACACGAGACATTAAAACGTGGCAGAGCCTCACAGACTTCAGACTCAGTAGGCCCGGAGCCCAGGCCCGTCTCCTCACCTGTAAAACAGTGGTGGCGGCACGGCCACCACCACCTCCTCCCCGCCCAACCGCAGCGGTGCTGTGAGCAGGGCAGGCAGGTGAAATGCAGGCTGGGCGCGGTACAGACACCGGATGGAGACATCCTCAGTCGGCGCTTCAACAAACACTGGGTGGTAAGAACATCTCAGCTGGGCATTTTTGGTAACTTCAAAGACCTTTAAGATTTGTTCCAGTACTAAACTCAGAGTTCTGTGCAAGACAATGAAGACACCGAATAGTCTGTGGTATTTGTTTAACGCTGTTCCAAGTATACAGACATGGCGGGTTCACAAAAAATTTGTTTTAATGGGCAGACAATGCCTAGACCAACAGTGAGTCCTGCTGCAGTCTAGTTCAAACAATGGCCAGAAAATCTGGAAGATCCTATGAAAGCAACTCAATTAGAAACAGCTAGTTAGAACTACACCTATTTATAGGCTATATTCCGAAGTCAAGTCTAAGACAAAAACTGCACATGGTTAAATCACTCTTGAAAACCTCCTTCAAGGTGTGTCATGAGGGCCATCTGCTACTTCTCTCAATCAAGTCAACACAACAGCCATACCACCTGCTCCAGCATCCCACCAGATTCAGTAGCTGGCTTGTGTTCAGGGGTCATACTGCTTGGATGACCCGTATCTCTGAACACTGGGAAAGAAATTAGCTCAGTCTTTCAAAATAACTATGGAGGGAGACTTCCGCCAAGATGGAGGTGGAGGTGGAAGCACTGTGCCTTCGCACACAACCAAGTTTAAAAACAACAAAGTTTCAGCAACAAAAACGCAGTCAAACCACAGAAAACTGAACTATATGGAAGTCTGACAACAACGAACCCTTCAGCCAAACCGGTAAGAGGGGCAGAGCCAGCAGCAGAGTAAGGTCAGGCAGGAAAGATCCACTGGACTGACCCGGGCGCGCACCCAGGCGCACAAGCAGCCATGGGGGGATCCCAGGTGTGGAGTAGTGGGCAGTCCCACTGACAGCTGACCGTGGTCACACATTTGCTCACTGATAAACCTGTGAAGGAGCAGTAAGAAGGATCGCACAGGCCCCAGTGGTGGGAAGTGGCAGAGGGGACCGCCATTGTCCCTCTGACCCCGCCCCCACATACAGCGTCACAAACCAGCGACCTGGGTGGCCCCACCAGATCAAAATATGGCTCAAGAACAACTCAGAGCCCCAGAGCCTATAAATCTAAGCAATGAAGAAATAGCCAAACTTTCAGATGCACAGTTCAAAACACTGGTGATCAGGATGCTCACAGAACTGGTTGATTTTGGTCACAAATCAGATGAAAAAATGAAGAGTACAATAAGTGAAATGAAGCAAAATGCACGGGGAACCAATAGTGATGGAAAGGAAACTGGGACTCAAATCAAAGGAGTGGACCAGAAAGAGGAAAAAAATGACCAAACAGAAAAATATGAAGAAACAAGAATTCAAAGAAATGAGGAGAGGCTCAGGAACCTTCAGGACATCTTTAAATGTTCCAACATCCGAATTATAGGGGTACCAGAAGGGGAAGAGGAATGGCCATGAGTAGAAAACTTATCTGAACAAATAATAAAGGAGAACTTCCCCAAACTGGCAAAGGCAACAGACTTCCAGGAAATCCAGGAAGCTCAGAGAGTCCAAAAAAAGTTGGACCCAAGAAAGAATACACCAAGGCACATCATCATTACATTAGCCAAGATTAAAATGAAGGAGAGAATCCTAGAAGCAGCAAGAGATAAGGGGACAGTCACCTACAAAGGAGTTCCCATCAGACTGTCAGCAGATTTCTCAAAAGAGACCTTACAGGCAACAAGGGACTGGAAAGAAGTATTCCAAGTCATGAAATCCAAAGACCTACAACCAAGATTGCTCTATCCAGCAAAGCTTTCATTTAGAATGGAAGGACAGATAAAGTGCTTCTCAGATAAGAGCAAATTCAAGGAGTTTATCATAACCAAGCCCTTATTATATGAAATGTTAAAGGAATTTACCTAAGAAGATAAAAAAGATGAACAGTGAAAGGACAGCAAACTCACAGTTATTAAGAACCACACCTAAAACAAAAGCAAACTAAGAGGACAGCTAGATCAGGAGCAGAACCACAGAAATGAAGATCACATGGAGGGTTAGCAACAGGGGAGTGGGAGAAGGAGAAGGGGGGAGAAGGTACAGAAAATAAGTAGCATAGACGGTAGGTAGAAAATAGGGGGGAGGGCAAGAATAGTAGGGAAAATACAGAATCTAAAGAAATTGAGACACCTGGTCATAAACTAAAGAGGGGAATGGTGGGGGAGGGGGTGTGCAGGGTGGAGGGGAATGAAGGGGGGAATAGAACAACTGTAATGGCATAATCAATAAAATATATCTAAAAAAACCACAAAAACAAAATAACTATGGAGGAACTCACTGAATTAACTGCAAATCCACACTTCCCATCTCACCATTGTTCTAGGGAAAAAACAAAACAAAACAAAACCCAAAACTGTTGGCCCTGGATGGTGTGGCTCAGTGGATTGAGTGCTAGCCTGTGAACCAAAGGGTCACAGGTTCCATTCCCAGTCAGGGCACATGACTGGGTTGCAGGCCAGGTTCCCAGTAGGGGACATGTGAGAGGCAATCACACATTGATGTTTTTCTCCCTCTCTAAACATAAATAAATAAAATCTTAGAAGGGAGCTCCTACCTTTTGCAACAGCATGGATGGAACTGGAAAGCATTATGCTAAGTGAAATAAGCCAGGCAATGAAAGACAAATACCATTATGATCTCACTTTTAACAGGAACCTAAAGAGCAAAACAAATAAACGAGCAAAATATAACCAAAGACACTGAAATACAGAATAGGTTGACAGTGACCAGAGGGGAGAGGGGAGGTAATTTGAGGGAAAAAGGGGAAGGATTCACAGGAACAAGTATAAAGGACACATGGACAACTAAGGGGGATGGAAATGGGAGGGAGGTGGGGAGCACGAGGTGGGGTGGGCTGGGAAGTGAGTAAAAGACAGAAAACTGTACTTGAACAACAATTAAATAAAAAATAAAAATAAAAATATGAAAAAAATTCTTAAAAAACCCAAAAATGTTTGGACCACAACTCATAGTAATTCATTTTAAATTGTAACCCATTACACACACACGCTGGCACATACAAAAAAATTCACAAACTATTTACCTTTATTACATTTTATGAACTTGATTATTCCATTGTGCTATTTTGCTTTAAAAAAGAATCAGGTCATAATTCACTAACAGTTTCTTGATCCCTAACTGGGTTACAACTTGCAGTCTGAAGACCACTGAATTGGAGTACTTCAAGCTCTTGACTACTCAAGACAATTATGTAGGGCAGTATCTGGAGGTTAAGAAAAACAACCAAACAAGCACATTTGTCCATAATATTTTAATACTTTTCTGCTTTTAAATACTGGTCTTAATTTTGTGATTGTAACATGGAAGATCCAACTTTTATTATTTTTAAAAAACATCATCAGGATCATAAAGCTATTATAGAATAGTTACATCCTATACACTCCCAAGGTACTTAAAAATGATTATGTTTTGAGTTTGTGGATGAACAATGACAATAATCCAAAGACATCATCTGTACAACTTGGACTAAATACTGGTAAAAGTGTTTAACTGGACAAACAACTGGTAAGCTTAAAGATAACCAGCACAATTTCACAAGAGAACCAGCTCACCCCAACTAAAAATTCTCCATAGCAAATTGACACTGACGTTGTATAGGTGTACAGATTAGCTCATGAAGCCAAACAAATGGGAAACCCTTTCCTCATTTTCCTTACTTTGTACTCTTACACCTCTCCCAGTCATCCCCCTCCTTGCTCTGGCTGCCCCTTTGTCTGGCGATCCCAAACCCAGAGCTGCTAGGATGACCCTGCCCTCAAATCTGGGAGTCCTGCATTCTAATTAAAACATTGTGTTCTCGCTCAGGGAACAAAGCCCCCTCATCACCAAAATTTTTAAAGTTTCTATTGCATTATAAAAGGGTAACTGAGTAGAAAAGAGAGTAAAAAGATCCTCTTTTTTTTTGGCTTGGGGAAGAGAAGTAGGAAATAACCGGGGATGAGAAAATGTTATGTATATTCAGAGTATGCAGGAATTCACCATATGGAAATAATTCTAGAGGGTTTGAATACTGTCTACAGGGCTAGCACCTCTCTAAAATTTGACCCTTTTTTAATTCTTTTCACATTCTCCTACTAATTTCTATATCTGGTTGGACAAGATTAACTCTAGTGAAGTACCGGTGCAATTACCTAAAGGTAAAATGTATCTTTTTTCTTTTTTAATACAAATATTTTAGTGTAATCATTTTATTTACAGAATAAACTGCAAAAGTATATCATTAACATTTAGTGCAAATGCAACAAACAATAATTAGATTTAGATACTGCTTTGTAAACTTTCCATACCTTTGTGAAATAAAGCTATCCAATTTAGTTATGAAAGAGTTACTTGTCTGTGGTCATGACAGTTACCAGAAAAAATGGCAAACAGAGAAATATCTATAGTGGGCATACAGAATTTTTTGAAGATTCCCATCAGTGTCTATGGTGAATATACCTTCCCTCCCTAACCCTCCCATACTCCCAACACCCTAGCCCACAGCTGATTGTAAAATAAAATACACATTTGAGGTATAAACTTTTCTTTTTTAAACATCACAATATAAAATGTTAAATGGTGATGTAGTAAACTGATATGACAATTTGTCTTGTTTGCCTGACTAGCATTACCACCATAGGCACTTTTCCACATAGTCCAATTATGAACAGCATTTTTCTGTAATAAGGCATAGTCCATGCACATCATTTAGAGAAAGTAAATTAAAAATAGAAAAGATTTATGGAGCATGAAATCTGCGTGCATATAATGTTAAGCATATGTTTTATATGTATTTTTCTCTCTGTACAGAATAATAAATAGCACTACATCTGATGCAAGTAATTTACTTCCAGGATTGTGCATATTAAGTGATCAGACTAATCCCATCATTAAATTATCACCTTGCATTTATCATTAAGACTCCATTACCATGTATGAAATATATACAAGACATGTTCCACGTGACATGACTTTCTGCTTTACATAATGAATCTGATTTGTGTTTCTACAAAGATGAACTAGTCAGATAAGCATCTACAAAATGCCTCTGACTTATGTAAGCACATTTGTGTATAAACATTAATGAAGATTTTGAAGTGGGCAGTCATTTCTACTTCAATGAGTAAAATTTCTTGCCTCAACTCCATGCTTCAAGGTTTTTATCAGAGGCTAAAAACTAATAAAACTAAAAAAAGTATTATACATTTATGTTCTTATAGCAACGAAGGAAAGAATTTCACAGGGAACCCCTCACTGCTCTGCTGCAGTTTCTGATCAAGAGGCAAACAGGGACATTGCTCACATTTTCTGGGCATGTCTTGCAACATACCTTTTAAACTAACCCAAATCAGAAAAACCAAAAAACACCTGTTACTGAATACTACAAATATTGAATCAAAGGTCAAAATCCATCTGATTTGCCTTCACAAGTAATAACTGTATATTCTCTCACAAATTTCATAAAAATGTAAGCTCATTTTACCCTGATCATTTTTACCAGAAAACAGTTTATACCCACAAGGTTTGCACAGATGTTTCTGTTTGCAGGTAAGAAAGAACCCATTTAGGAATCGCCAAATTGTGTTTCAAACAAACAAACAAACAAACAAACAAACAAACAAGAAAAGCTGTAGCACAACAGTGTACAACTAAAAATGCAGAAAATACAAATACAGCTAGGGGGGAAAAAGCTTTTCCTTCTTTCTCCATCAGAACCAAAGTTCTTCATGGGAGTAAGACTACGGAAAAAAACAAACAAAAAAAATCACAGGTTATTGACAGCCCTCAGTCATTAAGAGATACTTTTTATGACAACATGAATCATAGAAATCAGCAGCAATGAATTCTATGATTATGCAAAGCAAAGCAAAGCAAAAAAAAAAAAAAAAGAAACCCCCAAATTCTGGAAACAGGTTTAACTGCAGGCCTGAAACAAGAACCCCACCTGGGCAGCTGGTGCACAGAAGGCAGACGCCCCGTGCGGCCCTGTGCGCGTTCAACTTCTGTGCTTTTCTTTTGTGCACAAAACCTGATACAAATGAGGATCTTAGGCTGGACCACACTAAATTAAAAAATCTGAAAGTTTCCAAAACTTAAAGCTTCAATTTCTAGTTGTGATTCAAAGTTGATTTTTTTTCTCTTCTAGGAGCAAGCAAATAAAAATATAGCCATGTACATGTAATTTTACATGTATTTATAGTTATATGCTGAGTATGGAGAGCTAGCAGGAGACAGCTAGTGTTAGATGTTCAGCTTTGCTACTGCAATATTTCTTCATTTTTGTACACAAGGCCACGGTGCTGGGCCATAGACAAGGCTGGAGATCCTACGTTCCAGCTTAGAGCATTCGATATTTTTTTAAGTTTTTTCCTCCAACATGGAATGTCACACAGCCTTGCTTCAGTCACTGTAGGAAAGAAAATGACAAGTAAAAAATTCAGCCATATATTATTACCAACAGCTGCAAACCTACCAAAAACAGATTCCTCCTACTCCTTGAATTCATGGAATGCACACATTCTTTATTAACATTTATGTTTTAAACTTTAAGAATGTAAAAATTATCCCAGTGGAAGGAACAGAAAGGATAAGGAATCTTTGAAAGTTAGAAAAACTTTAAAAGGGTAATGCGCTATAGGTAAGCAAAGAGGGAATTAACCAGAGAGGTCTCTGGATTTGTAACCCATGCACTAACATTTCCTTCTTAGTCTTCAATAAAAATTATGCTATACAATTTTCAAGAACTTTAAAATTTTACTGAAGTTCTGAAAGAGAGGCCTGCCTTAATGTAGAAAACCAACGTGCTCAGATCGCATCAAATGTGTAAGCATTTTGACTAAGAGGTTTTAGTATCTTTGAACATCATTAATTTTATGGAATTTCTCTAAAGATGACACTGGCTATTGCAAATTACTATTTCTCCATCACCAAAATCAAGAATGCTAGTTTTCCTAAGGTTTCAATGCTAGAATCCACTTCATACATACATCTTCCAAAATTGTTATGAAGCAAGTATTATTTCAGGAGAACAAAGATTTTCTTCACATGTTAGGGTTTGAATTTGGTTCTCTGTCAGAAAGGACCTCAAGTGGGACTCGAGGCTGAGCTGAGTTTTAACCAATGAGTCTTTTCATTTCTGTCTTTATACATATGCTCACAGGTCCACAAACAACACTACCTCCTGCCTCAGAAGTAAATTTTTTTTTTTCAAAGATTTCAAGCCCATCCTTCTAGGTCTACTAAAGAAGAGAGAGTGTATACATGCAGTCAGTCAATAAAACACTGACCCAAATGAAATAGTAATATGTTAGTATGTATATTTCAAATGTTTAAGAAAATCACTATTCTTCTCAAACATAGCTGAGAACATGTTCTCTCTATATATAACTATGTTCCGATTTTTTCTGCATAATACATGGTTATTGTTTTCTGTCTTGCTTATAAGCAAGGCTGGGGATAGAGGTAAAGAAGAGAGAAAGCAGATGGAGCTACATGCTGGGTCTTGGTCACAGCAAACAGCAACTTTTTAGAAACCTTTGAGAAGAGACACCTAAGTAAGGTGACAAAGCCCGCTGCCACAGTGTGGAATCAGGTTTCTGGTTTGACAAATACAGTGCAGAGACAGAGTCAGTAAGAAATTGTGTGCCCGGAATCTTCTTAGCCATAACAATTCTCAAGTACAAAATATTCTAAAAATAGTGTATTTATGCAACACATTTATGCGGCAGGAGTGAGGATTCCTCAAAGGTCAGGCTATATATACCAAAACACTAAGCATTCAGATTAGTAAGGCCAGAACCTGTTTAACACTTTCAGGTCAGTTCTTTCCCAAGAAGAACTAAGTATCTGGGACATCAATGCAATAAACCTTGTGTTAGCATCTGACAATAAATTTAGCTTTAGAGTTTTTTTTGTAAAGACATACTACAGATAGCATCAGAAACCAAATTTAATTTAAAAAGGCATTCATTATGTGATTACCAACTATTATTATTTTTATCTAATTAAATTGACTCAAGAATATAAATTTCTCAGCCAATGATTTAACTAACATTCAATGTAGGTAAGAATGAGAGGATGTTCATATAATATTTACTGCCTGTAGATTATACTTCGGTGATATCTATTTAAAAATTTAACACACTGAGAGTTCACAGAAACAATTATACAAATGTTCTCCAACAGACCAAAAAATGTTCAAACTCATTCATAATAAGAGAAATACAATTAAAACTACATGGCGAGAGTACTTTTTAGCAATCAAGTTGGAAAAACTCAGAAAGCTTCACTTAACCCACTGTGGGACAGGGTTACAGGCACTCTGACACGTTGTCACTGGGGCGACAGCAAATTACTCCGGTCCCCGTGGAGGGCAACACCTGCACTACAAACACACAAACCCCACAGCGCCAGTGGTGTCACACCAACTAATGTCTCCCACATATAAACTCTCAAGTGCAAAATGACATATGGATATAATTCCAACACTATTTGTTCTAACAAAAAATGGAAAACAAGTGTAATATTTACAAAGGGAGGTTAGATGAATTATGTATATCCATACAATGAGATACTGAATCACCTTAAAAAAAGAATGACGAAGCTCCCCGCCTGTATGTGAAGGCCTTCAAGACAATAAAGAGTGCAAAAAGAAGATGCAGAATGATGTGTAGAGTATGCTACATTTTCTTCAACAACAAGAGTATGGGTGGGAGCAATACAACTGTATTTGCTTTTTCAGGCATTAGAAAAAAAAATCTCTCGCCTTGGCTGGTGTGGGTTGAGTGCCTGCCTGAGAACTGAAAGGTTGCCAGTTGGATTCCCAGTCAGGGCACATGCCTGGGTTGCAGGCCAGGTCCCCAGTTGGGGGCCATGTGAGAGGCAACCACACACTGATGTTTCTCTCCCCCTCTTTCTCCCTTTCCCTCTCTCTAAAAGTAAATAAATAAAATCTTTTTAAATTTCTCTGGAAAAATACACAAGAAACTAGTAATATCAATTATACACTTTTGTGTGTGTGGATGGGGGATAAACGTGGTGACTTGGGAGGGGCAGGGGATAAACTTACTATGTACCCTTTCACACATCTGACTTCTGAGTCATATTAACAGATGACTGAAAGAAAATTATATTCTTGCTCGTTGTGTAAAGAGGTTCAATGTAGCATTACTTGGCAGTAAAAATATGAAACACAAGTGTTACCATGGGGCTAGTTAATAAATTCTGCAATACTCAGGTAATAGATGTTAATATAATGAGACAGTATATACATCTCATATTTTTATATGGAATGATAGTTAAAATATATTACTAAGTAAAAAAGCAAGCTACAAAACAATAAATATAAACATATTCCTAAGACAATAAAAATACATATTCATAAGTACATAATTATATAAAAATTCTAGAATACACCACAAACCTAACAGTAATTTCAACGGAGGAAAAGATATAGAAAATTTGCACTTCTGAAATTCTTGAATTCTGTAATGTTAAAATTTGTTTAAATAAACAGGTATTATTTAATATAAGCAGAAAGATAAAGTAAGTTTTAAGGCTATAAAAACTGTAACTCTTTATCTGGGAACATCATAAGACACAAACTATTTTCAACAGTTAACTAAATTTTAACATCTATAGAATCATGTTAGACTAAGAAAAAGATACCATGTATCTTCCAGTACCTGTTAATACTAGAACAAAATAGATTTTCCTGCCGTTTTCTCTTGGACATAAGCAGTAAAACGTTTTAGAAACTTTGGATACTCTCGTTTTGCCACTGCCCTTAAGACTGAGGCTGGTGCCCATCCTCCAGGGTTCACTGTGAGTTAAAGAAAAAAATTAAATGTATCAAGATATAATTCTCCAAATACATATGAAGCACTCACTCATTCTGTTCCTTTGCTTTTAACAAATTCTTCATGTTGGGACAATCAGCATCTCTTAAAGTTTTAACCATTAATCCTTAATATTAACCACCAGGCAGAAACAAATAGCAAATAAGAAAGCACTACTATTTTTCTAAAGTGTTCTTACTTTTCTAAATTATATGTAAATATTAGTATAGCTACATTTTAGGTTACCTGAGACAGATTTATTAATCAAACTCTACTGTAATTAAATAGTAACTTGCTCAGGCATAAATGTCTCTTTAAACATAGTAGCAGTTAGGGTCCTGTATAAAGAAGGTATGAGGATTTGATTGGATGGACTTCAAAAACTACTGCAGAGAGAAAATGGGTGTAGTAAGGAATCAAAGCAACAGGGCTTCCCCTGGCCGGTGTAGCTCAGTGGATTGAGCGTGGGCCTGCGAACCAGACATTCGAGGTTCGACTCCCAGTCAGGGCACATGCCTAGGTTGCAGGCCAGTTCCCTGCAGGGAATGCAGGACGCACGAAAGGCGTCCTCGCATGAAAGGCAACCGAACATTGATGTTTCTCTCCCTCTCTCCTTCCCCTTCCCCTCTAAAGATAAAGAAATAAAATATTTAAAAACAGGCAACAGGGCTGCCCAGCAGCAGGCTGACATAAATAAATATGTACCTAGCAACTAATTAAGGATGAAGGACCAAATCAATGACATAGAAATGAGCAAGCCTGACAAGAAGAAATTTCCTTCCCCACTGTTGCTTACATTCCTAATTCTACATATTTTCTCTTAAGTAAATATTTAATAAAACAGTTCTTAAAACCAAGAATAGCCCTGACCAGTGGCTCAGTTGGCTGGATATCATTCTGCAAACCAAAAGGTTGAGGGTTTGATTTCTGGTCAGGGCAAATACCTGGCTTGCAGATTTGGTCTCCGGTTGGAAAATGTTTAGGAATGTATGGAAAGAAAGGCTGCCAATCGATGTTTCTCCCTCTCTTTCCCCCTACTTTTCTCTCTCTGTAAACCCCTCTCTCTAAAAAGCAGTGAAAAAAAATGTCCTTGGGTGGGGATTAAAAAACAAAAAAAAAACCACGAAGATATGTGACAGTATTCTTTATATAAAGTTTTAAAAGGTTTTTCAAGGTTTATTAAAGGTTTAAAACAATCTTCCTATCCAGCCCCAGCTTAAAAAATTCTGATGTAGTAGTTCTGGGGTTAATTTCAGGTATACATATATCAGAAGTTTCCCAATAGTTCTGATATACATCTTTGCAAACTAAAAATTACTTATCTAAAGAATAAACACTCAGAAGGCATTTGTGACGGTATTTCTCCAAATGATCAGTCATCATGTAGATCATACTAAGAACATCCACATTACCAAGTAGCAAAAACAAACAACTGAAATACATACCATTAGCTACATATGTAATCTTGCATAAAATGTTGTCCCTGCTAATCTCCTGGTTTCCCTCTGGTGGGCTTACCAAGGTTTGACAAATCATAGCAATATTTATTTTGGCACGGACACATCGATTGTTCAGCTACAGAAACAAAAAAATAGGAACAAAACACCAGTACAGCAGATACCCAGTATTTTGTAATCTCTACTGGTCTCACTCTACACTAGCTTCACTGAAACTGTAACTCATCAAAATCTCCCACAAAATACTGGAAATACTAAGAAATAACACATGTGAAGCTAATACAACACAAGAAATGATTTTCCCTCCTATTACACAGTAAATAGAGCTAAACTGAGGTACAAACCACAGAGGTTTTGCCAGTAGCTGATAATGGCTTGAGAGGCAACTGTGAGGAGTCTACATATATTATTCATCAGCTCTGTCTCACCTCACCTCAGTGGCAAAGGAAAATGGACCTGCTGAAATGGTCAGAGCCATGAGCACTGTCCCTCGGGTAGCACGTGGACTGTATTATTCCACGAGGCCAACATAACATACAATCTAAGAATCATAATCAAATCTAGTATCCGTGTGTGTGCGTGCATGTGGCATGTGTTTAGTGACTTTTGCACTGTATTGTACAGTTAGCTTTATATTCTACGACTACATACATTTTACACAGTGTACTTACCGGAGCACTGTCATGATCCACGGAAAAATTACAAACTATCCAAGTCTCAGGGTCATTTTCAGTCAAGGCTGGTATCTTCCGAATGGCAGAGAGGTATAATACATCTCGCTGAGAAGCAGGCCACACTCTCTGTGAAAGAAGTAAAATCATTTGAAAATTTAACTACTTTTTACTCATGTGTAATATGGAACTAACAGAAATAAATATAAAATCAATAAATTGTCTTATAGTTGAAGGAAAAATATGTCAAATTTTAAATGAAGAGCACCTGATATCATCCACTAAAGAATTAATTTCGAACACTGAGTTAACATTCTATTTTTTTTTAATTGTGGTTATCTGCTACTGAAACCATTTTCATGTGTACAATTCAGTGGTATTAATTATATTCACAATGCTACATAAACATCACCAATATCTACTTCCAAAATTTTTAATCTTTCCAAACAGAAACTCTACCCATTATGCATGGCAGACACCCCACTGCCCCCTTCCACAGGCCCTGGTAACATCCTGTTTTTAAGTTTAGTATTCAACTTCAGCTTAAACTATTCAGAGACTTTAAAGCAAAGATTTTAGGCAAAGAAGTCGGCTCCTCTGATAGCAGTCACCTTTAAAGAATTCCCAGTCAGTGCGACAGAACCTTTGAACTTCATGGTACAGGAGGGAAAAGTACTGTTGGAATAACGTAGTACCTAGGTCTCAGAGAACTGGAACTCTGTACAGTTGAAGTGAGAGATTCTAATAGTTGAGTACAAAACAGAGCCAACAACTCAGTGTCGATACAACACAAATCATCTGCAAAGTGAAATGGTTTATCCTTTAAAGATATAAAACTTCATGAAGTCAACAAAAGTAGTGTCGGAGAAATGAATATGAAGCCAATAATAAATGAAAATTTGGCCATGTTAGAGCTAGTAAATGAAAATCCACAAGGATGAAGACAAGACAAATCTAAAGGGTGCAAATAACTTAAATACTAGGAGATGCACAGCCCTATTTAAGGCCATATTAATAAAACAAAGCCAAGTTTAAAGAGAAAGATATATAGTGTTTTTGGATTTTGTTGGGAAAAAAAAAGCCAGGAGAATTTATTTATTCAAATAATTATAACTTAAGTTTTGTTACTTATAAAATACATTATTTTAGTAGTTTTTAAGAAACAAACTTGGTACAACCTATGTAACCTTCCCCTCCACCTACTATTTACAAGGTGCAGTAAATCCTTGCAGCAGATTGTCTTCCAGGATCAGTAATCTTCAGGTTATAAACACTCTTCTGAATCTAAATTATTGACCATTTAATATTCATTCTAAATTACAGGGCAAGTAACTGATGTTTCAACAACTACTAAATTTTAGATTTCACTTAGACCCTCCCTCAAATCTGCATGCTGACACAGAATCCTCACTGTTACACGTTTCTTAAGAAGCTACCACATAAAATGAAGCACGGCTCATAGTTATTAGATATAAGATGCCTCAGGTGACAAGACTGAGCTTAAGAAATACAGAGCAAACCTCAAATATTTTCACATATTCAGCTCAATTAAAAATCATTTGAAAAAGAGAATAATAAAGTACTTATTGAATCATTGTATTTCCTGTATAACATACAATATTGCTTCTGGTGGCTCTCTCCAAAATTTTAATTCATTTTTAAAAGAAATTTTATTTATTTTTAGAGAGAAGGGAAGGGAAGGAGAAAGAGAGGGAGAGAAACATCAATGTGTGGTTGCCTCTCACATGCCCCCTACTGGGGACCCTGCCTGCAACCCAGGCATGTGCACTGACTGGGAATCGAACCAGACGCCTTTTGCTTCACAGGCCCACACCCAATCCACTGAGCTACACCAACCAGGGCTTTAATTAATTTTATTATTATTTTTTAAAGAATTTTAATTTATTTTTAGAGAGAGGGGAAGGGAGGGCGGGGAGGGAGAGAAACATCAGTTGGTTGCTGCCTCTTGCATGCCTCCACTGGGGACTTGGCATGCAACCCAGGCATGTGTCCTAAGTGGAAATCGAACCAGCGACCTTTCAGTTCATAGGCTAGCACTCAATCCATTGAGCTACACCAGCCAAGGTATTTTATTATTCTTTATTTGAAATACTATTTGGCAATTTTCAGAAGGGGAAGAGAGTAGGACAGAGTAAGATAAGTATTAATTCTAAAATTTTAAACCTAGATTAACATAGGAAGAAAGGAAGGGAAAGGGAACCAATTTAGATGACCATGTTTCTGTGTACTCTGGTATATGACCAACCTCTCAATAGTCATGCTCAGCAATTTTCCATTGCTTTCAGGTAATCCACTTAAGGTCACTTTCACATCTATTGGTCTTAACACAGGCTAATAACATATTTTCCTCTTTCCTTATTATATTGTTATCACAGAAAACTACAATTCACTTTTATATTCACTATTGTTTATCTTTATCTCTTTCTCTAGAAAGAGACTAGAGGCCTGAAAAATATTTGAATTTCTGGATTATTAATAAAGTTTTTAGATCTTTTCTGGCATTTAATTTTCTGCCAATTTTACTTTAGACAATTTCTATGCTTCGGTCTGAACTACAGTGGAATCCTTTTGGACCAAAGATATATTTACCTTGTGCGTTTGATAAATGATGATTGCATTATCAGCTAATGTTTCCACCACATGAAAGTTTTCTATAGTTGCTGAAATAAAGAGAAAATATTAATCAAAATGACATATTATCTTTTTCCTAGAATGTGATTAATTCACTTACACTGAAAGTCAGTTATAAATGAACATTACTCTAGAATAAACAGGACTCTGCCCCACTTGGGCTAAGCGGACAGTGAAGGTGGTTTAATACCTAGTGATTAGGGCTACAGATAGTGCTGTGAGACCTGATCACTGGCAAATCACATTTTCTTTGGTCTACTCTTTAGCTTCCACAGCAAGACAGCAATTTAATTCTGATCATGCTGCATTATGCAGCACAAGTTATTCCCTGATGCTCTAACTCCCCCCCATGATCCCCGATTTACTGAAGCTGAATAAGCTGTTCTATCTGGGCTCAGGTGACTGTATGCAAAAAGAATGTCCAATTGCCACTGATACACATCTCATGATGCTCAGAAGCATCTACTTATGGAATGTGGTGCCCAAGGGAAAGCCCATGCCAAAGGAACTAAATAAACCACAGCAGGACTCAACTAGGATTTACCAGGGAAACATAACAGTCTAGGAGAAAAGTAGATAAAACAAGAAACCTTAATTTTAGTCTTGGATTGTCCACTAACTAGTTCTGTGGCCTTGATAAGTCACTTGATTTGTGTGAATTTTACTTCATTACCTACCAATGCAGGATTGCTGAGGTATTAAATCAAATGCTACAATATACTAAGAAGAATTTTATACTGTGAAAAGCTCTATTTAAATGTAAAGCATTATCAGTCCCCTCTATGATTCTCCAGATATATTCTACACTGACTTTGTAAACTAGATATTATATGCAAAAAACCAGGCTGGGTTTGCTATTAAAATAAAAACAGTAATTATATTAAAATATATTAATAACAGCAGCTTACTTTCCCAATCATTTCGAACATCAACATTCCAGAAGTAATTGCAGACCTCGTGTCCTGTAACTCCTTTAACTGCATGTGTAGCTTTCAAAGGATCAAGAACAATCCCATTCTCTTCTACTTCTCTCCTATATACCTACATGGGACATAGTTAAAGGCCTGTTTAAAAAATAAAAATCAAATTCCTAAAGTACAAACTTGAAAGCATGTTCTTAAATTTAACAGCATTTTAGAATTTTATTTATGAAAATCTCTTTATGAAACATAAATATTCTTCTATAAGTAAGTTTAACATTTTAAATTGTTAACACCTAAACACAAAAATATTTAAAACTATAAACCCAAGGTAAACTTTAACTATAAAAAATATGCATGTAATAAATAATTGCTGTGAGCTGTTAAAAAATAGATAAATGAATTTAAATCAGGCATTATTTACTGAACATTCTCAAAGGCTGTTTGACATTGCCAAAGTCATAATCTCCTGGTTAATACATAATCTCCTTTGGGATGCTGATTTAAGGCAGCTTTTGTTCAACTAATGTATCTCTAGCATCCAGAGCACTACTTGAAACACAGTAAAGCAATTACTTATTCAATTGATGACTGAAAGCTACAATGGAATAAAGATTTTTGCTTTCTTGCTTTAAGTACTGAAGTTGTACATCTAACAGGCTGATTAAAATTAATTATTCCAGAATTCAGAGAACTAAGTAGTAAGTCTGACAAGTGAATAAACATGTTACCACAGGGAGAATCAACTCTCAACGTACAGAGTGCCTGCGGGTCCAGGTGCTGTAAGACATCTCCCTACAGTTCCTTGTTTACAATCTCTCTCACCAAACTCCTTTCCCCCACGTGCTTATTTATCCGTTATTGGGACTGCTATTTTCCTAGTCAGCTAAACTGGAACTCTTTCGACTTTCAATTGAAAGTCGAAAAGCTTATAAGAATCATAACATTTTGCTATCTCATTTTCAAGTCTCCTCTATCTTATTTCTTAATTTGTTCTTTATTCAGAAGAAGGGGAAATTCCAACATCTATCATTGTATCTGATTTACTAGCATAATTCTGATTAACACAGTCTATACAAATCTCTTGAATAAAAAATTAGCTTTCAATAAGTGAAAGTAGTTAGACATATGATTTCACTAATATGTGGAATCTAAAGAACAAAATAAATGAACAAATGAAATATATAGTGACTTAGATACAAAGAACAGACTGATGGCTGACAGAGGGGTTAGGAGATTAGGTGAAAAAGGTGAAGGGACTCAGAAGTCCAGACTGGTAGTTCCAAAACAGTCACGGGGATGTAAAATACAGGACAGGAATACAGTCAAGGACATTGTAATAACTATGTATTTCAGTACCAGGTGGGTACTAAAATATCAGGGGAATACTCTGTAAAGTATATAATTGTCTAAACTCTCTGCTGTGCACCTGAAGCTAATACAAAGTAATACTAAATGTAAACTATAGTTGAAAAATAAATTTAAATTAAAATAAATCAGCTTTCAACTTTTTGTTCATGTTATATTTGTCTAAAATGCCCTCACCTTAATTTTGTTCATATTTTTCCACATCCAGACATAGTTGAAATACTTCTCCTTAGTGTAAAACAGCCTAATTTTTAAAATCAGAGTTCCCTTTTCCAGCTTTTCTCCACTATTCTTATGTATTCTTTATTAGACGGAGCCAAGTCACACTATCTTTTAAATGTCAGTATCCTCTTTACCTAACTGAAGTTTCAGCTTGGAGGGAATGTCATTAAACCTCTCCTTTTCTTTAGCACAGTGCCCTGGGTGTGAGGTAATCCAAAACTCAATGTTGCTGCTTTTCAGTCAATCTCTGATCTCTTGGTCCTTGCTCTCGTTCCGTCTCATGTGTTTAGGGATGTGAACATTAGCTGACTAATGTCCAAATACCAAAAAAAAGGCAGTGAAGGAAATGACAATAAATGAGGTATAGACCAAGGAGGGGTACACAAAGTTACATCTGGGCACAGTGTTTAGCATAGTTAAAAAAGAGAGAGAGAGAGAGAGAGAGATCTCTAAATAGAGAGCTATCAGCTAACTGTGATTTTTTCATATCTAAACCACACAATTTTATTTTTCCATGATCTACACAAAACAGAATGATTTGTGCACAGATTTTATCATAAAGAAATTATATAAAAGCTAAACAAGGGAAGCAAAAGGACATTTTATTTCTCAATATGTGGTTCTTTGATCATATGTAATAATTTGTATAAAAGTAATATGACTGTAATAGAGTTGCAATTAGCAATCTGTAACATTTCACTGGAAATTACCTTCATTTCTCCTTCTTCTACAACTAACTGCCAATTGGCATCTCCACCTACATCCTGTAATGAATACGTCATGTGGTTCTGTACCATTTCTTCAACCTTGAAAAAAAAATAAAGCTGTAAGAATCCACCTCCAATTAGTAGGTATGACATAATCTCTAAAACAGAATGGTACTCAGTTTACTTCAGTTCAGAAATGCTATTTTTAGGAAGCTGAACAATCAAATGTACAATGGTTAGTAGGTTTTAAATAGTGTTGAAGAGTTTAGTCCACATTCCAGATATCATATCTAGGTTAATGACAGAAGGGAGAAAGGCAGGGAAGTAAGATGCTTCAATCAGATAACATACTGTATACCGGACCTAATCTGTGCCAAGTGACCAAAATAAGCATTTTCTGGAAAAAAAAAATTCCTTCCTTAGAGAGAATGCTTCCTTAAAGCATAAAATCATTACACTCTAAGGATAAAAGAAGCACGAAGGGACCAACTAGGCCAAGATTACACTGAGATACTAGAAAGTTCATCATACGTCAAGATTTCCCTAATGAAAGTAATTTAAACTTTTGTTTTTTCACTGAGATGATAAAAATAGTCTCTAAAAAAACTGGCTCCTTTACCACCTATGCACAGATACTTTTTCTAAGCTCTATTTTCTAACCTTTTACTCATAATATTGTTTTATGTAATAAATACATTAGAGAAAGCAGAAAAGAAAGGAAAAATACGTGTATTATACTTCCACTGTTTACTTATATTTTATGTAAAGTCTACTGTGTTCATTAGGGGTAAAAACCAAGAACCAAGTTTCTACATATTTTCAAATAAATCTTTTAAATACAAAATTCATAGTTGAGGATATGACTTTATTAACCCTAGGGATGAGTTTTCTACACAAAAGTATGTTATTGTGACATGTACTTCTACCACGTCAAGCTTTCTGGACCTCAGAATGCATTTTTGGTTACTGAAGGCAGGTGGCTTTAAGTGTCCCCTTAATTGAGATTGTAAAGTCTGTATTTGTACTAAACACTAACATAGCACTTTATTTCTCTATTCATAATCTTCAAAACATGATGAATGGTGTTGGGTTACATACTTGAGAGAAAATGTAAAGTGTTACTAGTAACTTCACAAAGCCTGGATTAGAAAACATAACTTCAGGGGCTGCCTGGAAAACCCCATGTGCCCCGGTAATACTGAAATACGCTTTTACAAGGTAAGGATGACTGATATGGGATTCCAAGTGACGAATACATTCAAAGTGTAGCTCTTTTCCAAAGTAAGAACAAAGAAAAGTCCCAGTCAGTATTCATAAATTAAAACACTGTGGTAGCACTGCCTTCTTTTTTTGTGTCACACACATCGTGATTTGGAGAAATTTTTACCCATTCTAGATCCTAAGATCTTAAAAATCTTTAGATTTGAATATGTGCTCTTTATGCTGGACACTGGAAGAACACCTACATTTATTATGATTAGAGGCAGAAACAAATGCTTCCCCCGAAGAAGCCCTACTTTTAATGGATTACCGGTGAAAAAGTGAGAAGGATTTTATTTTTATTTTTTAATTGTATTTTTTTGCCATTACCATTTAGTCCTCTTATATTCCCTTCCTCCCCTGCAATCACCACACTGTTGTTCAAGTCCGTGGATCCTTTTCCCTTTTTGCTCAGTACCTCCATCCTCTAACCTCCCCGCTTCCAGGATTTTATTCCGTTAAAAAATAAAGAGTTCTGTTTTAAAAAATTTAGTGCCATTTAGCTTTTTGCTGAAAATTATGCAGGCAATTGTGTTTTTGTTTGGGAGATTATTACTGAATTAGCAATTTCAAAAGTTTGAAAAATGATTTGTTTCAGTCCAAAAGAAACCAGATTCTATAACTATAAATTGATAGGTGATAACATAAGTTAAAACAATGTAGAGTAAGCACACTTAACACTGTTCGTTTAAACAGATGAAAAAAATAGTATTCTTATCAGTTATCACTGTGTCTATGGAATTTTTCAGGCTCCTGTTCTTATCTATCTACTTCCTTGACTTAAGAAGGCTGGGAAAAGTCCAATAAAGAAACAAATAAGATGTATTCAGTGTTGTACTCCTAAGAAATCAAAGAAACTAAAGAAATACTCAATTACTGTAGTAACCACTTCTGTAAAGCCTTCATCATGGAATCTTTATCCAAACATCTTCCTCTAGGTAATAACATTGAGAGGAGAGATAGAATTTCATTTTAATAAATTTTATGTTCACTGCAATAAAATACTAAGTAGCCGATCCTACGGTGGGAGCAGCGACTAGGGCATTCATGACCAGTCACTTTCAGTTATGACTCTATATAACAGAGTAAGTGGGAAATAGGGACCATGAAATTGGAGGACAAGAATAAACACAAGTCAAACTTACCATTTATTAGGCTCAAAATTTTATATACTAGTAAATTCTGTTGTTGCTTAAAAAAAAAAAAAAAAGACTGGACCAAATTACTGAAGTAGGTTTTCCATGCTTTAATAACAGTATTTTTGAAATAGGAGTGACAGCACTCCAATGATAACCCTTTCTTTCACCCTACACTTGAATCCCTCAGTATGTTGAATTAGGAAGGTGTCTAATAGAATTTTTCTAACATTACTAATATAGTACTTAAAAAAAAAAGATTTATTTATTTATTTATCTTTAGAGGGGAAGGGAAGGAGAGAGGGAGAGAAACATCAATGTATGGTTGCCTTTCGTGCGTCCCTTGCTGGGAACTGGCCTGCAACCCAGGCATGTGCCCTGACTGGGAATCGAACTGCCATTGTCTGGTTCCCAGCCCCGCGCTCAATCCACTGAGCTACACCAGCCAGGGCCTAATATAGTACTTTTGATAAAAAATTGTTCTTTGATAACAAAATTGTAATGAACAAAATTCTACTGAACAAAAATAAATCTATGAGGACTCAAACATAGCTCAGATCTCTTTCTCTTACCTATTTAAAAGAAAACAACTATGCTTATTATTACAGTTACAGAGTCAGAAAGAGATGTGTTGGACAGAACAGTTTATTAATAAAAAGTTAACATTTTTCTCTTGTTAACCCAAGAGAAAAATGGCCAAGAACATAAATAGTCCAAACATCCAAGAACCAAAAATCCATGTTTAGTATATCAGAATGACAAAAATTAACTAAATTATAATATTCCATGTCAATAACAGTGAAAACTGACCTGGAAATATAGCTCGTTCAACTTTTTTTAATAGTTTGGTATTCTATGTAAGAACTCATATATGCGGATGCCTTTGTCCCAGCAATTCTACTTCTAGAAATATAGTATAAAGAAATAATTGAGTAAGTTTACAAATATGTTGTATATACAAGGATACCCATGTAGCACTACTTATAATAGAGACAAACTGAAAATAAACTAAATGTTCAACATTGGGTGAGAAGGTAAATCCAGTATGTATATCCATAAATTGATAAGATCTTTACTTACTGCTGGGAAGATGGGCCTAACGATATATTTTAAAAAGCTGGTTACAAAATAGCATATACAGAATTAACTACCATGATAGCAAAAGCCAGTTAAGGTGTATTTATCAATATGTGCCTGATTTTTCATATGCATTAGAATATATATCAATAGTGATGTAGTATTTTACTCTACTTTCTAGTTCTGCTACAATTAGGATGCATTACTGCACAATAAAAAGGGGAGAAGTAAAATAAATAATTAACACAATAACGTTATATCCAATAATATATGGACATAAAGTAGAAGAGTTTCACTCGGAATTGTTTGTACAGTGATGCTCCCTATAGGTTAACCTGCAGCTGTACCACACACACTTTGATTTTGTTTTTTCAACAGATAGCTTTTTTCCTCTTTGATTTTGGAGGTGACATCTTTAGATGGGAACTGTGTTATACAAATAAATGTGACCAAAGGATTCATTTATAAATCGAAGTCCTTACTACTTCCTATACACTTTGATTTAGAGCTACTTCATGCCCAATTTCTGTCCAGCAGACAGATTCATCATTTGCTATTCATTTCCTAGTTCAATCACTTATTTGAAGTTATTTTTCAGGGCATCTTGTAATTCTATGTTTAATTATCTTACCCAATCAGGATTATGAACATAATTTCAACAAGAACAAAACAGTCATGAGCCGAGACTTGTACACAGATGCCAAAGCCCAATTAATCAACAGTTAAAATGCCAGAGCCTACGTCTGCTAATGACAACAAATACTATAGCAAGAACAAATACTCGAAGACCTCAATATTGTCTTCATTTTTGCCTCTTTTGGCATATAATATAGTATAATAATCAAAAGCTAAAACAGAATCAGATCAACCACGAGCATCACATATCAGAAAAAAACTACCAGAAAGACCTCTTAACTTACATACCTGAGTTACACAAAAAAGTTAGATGGAGTAAGTTATAATTTGGCAGAAGTCTTGTAAAAATCTGGGCACCCACTTCTCAATGACAGTCATCTGTCCTTGAAGGCTTTCGGCTGCTCTATAGCTCTCTATAGCTCTCTATAGCTAGGGTCCTAAGTCTGGGTTTTGAAGCCCTGATTGTTAGGCACCTATCAGTGGCTTATATTCTCTTCCTGCTCTTATTACCTTTATTTCATTTTTAGGCTGTATATTCTCATATTTTTAAGGAAAAATGGTAGTCAGTCCTGATGAGTTTCAGTTAGTCTGTTATTTTACTATTTTAATGGAAGGTGGAACTTAGCAGAATAAACCACAGTCTCCCAGGATTTTCTAGTTTTGTCTGTGATTTATTGCACGTATGAGCCACTCTTTAAAAGGCATGAATAAATAAATGGATGAGCAAAAGGTAAAAAATATGGGAATAAGTTTGTGTGATTTCTGATGAATTAATGCATTTCTTTCTCAAAAAGACAAAAAAAAGTTGCTAAAGTCAGGAAAACACAACCTGATTCTTAGATTTCCTTTACTGCATAATTAAAAACTAATATAAATTTTATTCATATGTGGAAACTAATAAAAATGCTTAAAATTATGACTTTTTAAAACTTTTATTGGAATGCTGATAGAGGAAAAAATGTAGATAATTTTGATTAGCTCAAGGAAACTGTGTTATTGTGGTGTTATTAGAAACTGACTTGCTGAGTGCCCACTGCATGCCGGGCCCTAGGTAGGTCTGAGTCCTGGCTAGATCATGCGAGTGAAGCACGGAAGAGTGAAGAGAGCTGCCCAACATTATGCAGCTAACCAGAATTCAAACTTGGTCACTTTGGGAATTCAGCTTCTTAAAATAACATGATGAAATCCAATAAAATGCAATCACCATAAAAATATAAAGTTGAATTGCAAAGATGGGAAGATGGCAAAAAAACTTGTTTTCCAACTAATGATGATGCTAAAATATATTGTTCCAATGATTTTATTATAAAGGCAGAGACTGCAAGCATCCAGCTTCCTGTCTTAAATCCTTACTGACAATACCAAACAACCAATTAAAACCAATTCCTGTAAATTTAGCATATGAACAGGACTATTAATTTATAATAACCAACAGTAACGTGCACAGGTACAACCTGTTCAATAATAATTAGTATTATAATGATAATACAAATATTATTTAAACAGTTATTTCTCTGTTGAATATAATATTTTAAATTAGATTAGATATGGGACTGTTGAAACCTGCTTTTATATGATATCATATCCGTCAGAGTTGCTGAATCCTGTCTGAAGAAATCAGATATTACATGACATTTAAAACCAGGTATCTTTAATTATTTCAATTTAATTTGAAATCTTTCAGGAGTGCCTACTACATGCCAAAATTTCAAGCTATCACAGTTAAGAATACAAAGGGCACATGCAAGACTGATAGAAAAACTGTTTAGGAGATGAAGAAGGCCTTTTTAATGCTTATTGTCACTATTTAAAATTCAAAATGAAAACAAGCAGTCTAGCCAAAAGATTTCTCGGAACTGAGAGAGCAGGCTGAAATACAGTACAGAAAGACTCAAGTCCACTCTATACATTCATACAGTACCTGGGAGCTGAATCTGTGAACATCGTCAGAGGCACTGACTAGATCAATGGAAGACATGGAGGAAGAGCGACTATAGGGCTACCAGAGACAGACAAAGAAAAAACCAAGTAATCAGAACAAAGGCACAACAGAGCATTCAGTACCAACTTCCAAACACAAGATAAAGAAGGAGAGAACAAAGCACTATATGAAACAAACTCAGCAGCAAGTGCTAACTCCATGCACCTATTATGTTATGCTCCAAAATCTTTCTAAAAAGAATTCAGTGCTTTCAGTAATATAAAATACCACTTAACCCCAAAGAAAAAAGAATTTATATAACTGGCTATGCTTCTGGTTAACTATTTTGGACTAGTCGTTCCCTATTGACTACCACCAGCCCCCCTTTCCCCTTAAATAAAAGAGAAAGAACATTATGTTCTTAAGAAGATTTAGAAATCTGTTTTGGAGATATATAGGGAAGAATACATGATACCAAAAAAAAATTTCATTAATGAAATTCAAGAAAAGGGAGAAAACTTATACAAAAAGAGCTCCGTCAACAGCGAAGAACAATACAACATGTAATTTCAGTGAACTCTGACATTGGGCTTACCTTTTGGACAAATCTATGAGTCCCCACAGAAGAAAAGGCATCTCCAGAGGGCATGGATGCAGGCCAATGTAACCTGACCTTTTCGCTCTGTGACTAAAAAAACAATGTTAAGATGCTAAAGTTTTAAAGGGTATTTTGCAGCTAAAGAATGGTTAATATAAGCTATAACCTGGAACTGTCAACATTTAATTACTGAACACTAGTACTTATGTGGTAGGCAGGCAGACGACATGAGCAAAACAAGGACCACGGGCCAGGTAGAGATGGTCAGTAGGGCTGAAAGCCCTGGGTGCCTAGCAATGTGCAGAACTGGAAAAAGAAGGGCCTTACCGGCAAGGTAACCTTTCCTCCCCTAGCATATCAGTAGTGATGCAGTTTAGATCCCTTTAGTGGGGGCATGAACCAGGGGGCAGAATAGCCTTATAGGACTCCCATATAAGCCCCTGCATGATCACTAGCTTAAGCATTAAGCCCCCAGGACAACAAAGTTCTGACCTGTATCAAGTAATCTGAGGAACAAATCCTCGGGTCTGTTGATCACAGAGACAGAGTTTTAGTCAAAGTAGGGATAATATCTAGTCTTACTTGTGTTGCAGTTTTGGTCCCAGAAAAGCAGGAAAACCAGACAAGTGACACATGGCTGACATCAGGACCAGCTGCACTGACTAATGACGACCCCCTGCCCAGGCGCTGACCAGTCAGTAGAATCCATGACCCTGACAAGACACACCTGGAAAGCTGATGACTATTCTATTAGAGTCCTCCCCGAGCCTCCAAATGGAGGACTCAGTAGGGCTCTGTATGGATCATGCCAGCGCCTTTCCCCTAGATGCAATTTCCTTGCCTCTCTTTCCTCAGCTCCAAGAGCCCTTCTTTTGCCTCTGTGAATTGTTTCCTGAGCCTATTTCTTCAAACACTCACTTCTTCCACCTCTGTGACTTTCCACATAAACTTCTGCTTGTGTTCAAGTCTCAACTCTAAATTCTTTCTCAGTCAGAACTCAAGTACCAAAGTCTGACTCTAGCAGTCTAAATGAGCATCCAAAATTACAGTTCATTTAGAAACTGAAAATCCCCACTCTGGGTGCTGTGCAGCATCTTTTAGGTAGAAAAAATGAACAATAAACTTTATAAATTAATGTGACATGAATTTCTACCACTGATTTCTAAAAAATATATAATAAAAAATGAACGTGAAAAGTGATCACTATTGCAGGTGATTTACCCTCAGGTAGGTGGACCACTAAATGCACATAATGGCCATGACTGACTTTGCAACGACAGGAAATGAAAATGCCAGATTTTTAATGCAAGTATATCTGTAGTATAACACCAGTATCATTTATTTGCAAGATGCTTGAGTCCTGCATGGGACAAATAACTAAAATTGACCCTTAGGTACCATCTAGTGGTAGTATATGGTAACTGCACTGTAGCAGAATTGCAGGAAAGGATCAAATTAATCTTTAATTAGAGCTAAAGGATTTAAGAAATGCTTTCCTCCCACTTCCACAGAACCAGCTGGGTATGACTTCTATGAATACAATGATGATAAATCACTGAGCAAACTTAAAAGTGAGTAAGCAACTGAAGGTGAAGGTAGTGAAAGCAATAGAGGAGGTAACAAAAAACGAATGGTACTAACAGAAGAAAAACACATTCTTGGTCATTTTCCTTTTGAATTTATATGGCACATGGTAAAAAGAAATTTAAACAGGCTGTTTTACTCAGAGTAAATATATACTTGATATTAACAGAATGATGATAAAGTTGGAACTTTAAGAGGCATAGAATATTTTCATTGGTCTTTCTATTGTTTGGAAATTAATATATGAAGGAAATGACATAAAGATTCTTCTATATTTGTGACTAAATGTAGATACTTCATTTTTTAGATTATGACAGTTTCATGGTTTTAAAATTCTATTTATATAAAACAACATTCTAGAGTTAGAATTTTTAATAACAGATATACCTGTTCTTCTATTTTATCTTGTCTGTCAAGAGCAGCTTCAACCGCATCAAAGAACTCTTCTTCATTAATCAGACTGTTTGGACCTTCCTATTTGAACACATAGAAAAAGACCGAACAGTTTATTGTAGAAAAATGTAAAACACTGAAAATCCTGGCACTAATTCTAGAAGTAAGCTGAAAAGTGACCCAACAAATATTTATGAACCAGTTAGTATACTTGGTAATATTATATAAAAGATGAGGAACATATGCTCTGTACAGAATCCTGAGAATAACAATTTATTCACTACGTAGTCGTGTACTTACTGCTTACCAGCCAATATTATGTTAGGACAATAATCTTGACCAGGGATGTCAAACTCATTTTCACCAGGGGCCACATCAGCCTCGCAGTTGCCTTCAAAGAGCCAAAATCATTTTAGGACTGTATAAATGTAACTACTCCTTTACTGTTAAGGAGCTGAAATTACATTCAGCCCTTGGAAGGCAACTGCAAGGCTGATGTGGCCCCTAGTGAAAATCAGTTTGACATCCCTGATCTAGAGCATGGGTTTGGTGAACTATGGCTTATGGGTCAAATGCAGTCCACTGCCTACTTTTGGGTAACCGTAGCTAAGACTTTCATTTTTTAAATGGTTGAAAAAAAAGAAAAGAATAACATTTATGACATGTGGGAATTCAATAAAATAAAAACAAAGTTTTATTGGACTACAATCATGCTCATTCATATATATTGTCTACGCCTGCTTTTGTGCTACAGAGTGAGTTGAGTACTTGTAACCTGAACACTTGGCGACAGAAACCACATAACATTGCAGAAAGGTAAGTAAAAAGTTGCAGTCTATAGGCAATGAGAAGTATAGATAGGAGCTTTGACAGGAATTTTCCTAAGCAATGACAATAACTTCACGGAGAAAGAAAAGTTGAGCTGAAAGCCTGGTTAGATGGCAGAGCAATGGTTCTTAATCACCTGGGAACTTGTTAAAATGAAAATTCCCAGGGCTCCATACAAAGAATTACTTCTCCGAAGGTCTTGGGTGGAGCCAGAAATATGCATGTTAATAGTCCTTCAAGTGATTTTCATTCAAGTATAACCTCAGCTGTATTAGAAAATAAAAATATAAAGAGACTTCCGCCAAGATGGAGGCATAGGTGGATGTGCCCTGCCTTCTCACACAACCAAGTCTAGAGACAACTAAATATTAGCAACAGAAAACACAGCCAGAACACGGAAAATTAAACTTTTCGGAAGTCCGTTAACAACAAATTCTTCAGCCTGACCGGTAAGGGGCGAAACCAGCAGCTGGTGAAGCAGGGTTGCACAGGAAAACTCAGTCAGAGGGACTCAGGTGCTGAATCCAGACGCGTGGAATCCAGGCGCAGGGTTGGACCTAGTGAGCAACTGAGCGAGCCACCAGGCGAGCGAATGCGGAGGAGACAGCGGGGAAGGTGCTGCGTGTTGACTGTGGTCGCCCATTTGTGTGCGGGCGGACAGGCAAGGGAGTGGGCGGTTGGACCGGGGCTGGGCGGGTCCCCGCAGCAAGCTGCATCGGAGGGTACCGCCATTTCCCCGCTCTGACCCCACCTTCACATACAGCCTCATAACCCAGCGACTCTGAGTGGCCCGGCCCAGGTGAACCACCTAAGGCGCTGATCCTCACCTAGCTGTGACAAACAGCAGAGGGGGTCGCCATTTCCCTGCTCTGACCACGCCCCCACATACAACGTCACAACCCAGCCACCTGGGAGTCCAAGGCACCGCTTCTCACACTTAAAGGGCCAGAACAGACCAAAAATGTCGCAAGAAGATCTCAAAGCCCCAGAGCCCATAGATCTAAGCGATGAAGAAATAGCAAAACTCTCAGACGCACAGTTTAAAACACTGGTCATCAGGATCCTCACAGAACTGGTTGATTATACCCACAAATTAGACAAATATATGAAGGTGAAACTAATTGAAATGAATGGAACTGCACAGGACACCAATAGCAATGAAAAGGAAACTGGGACTCAAATTAATGGAGTGGACCAGAAGAAAGCAAATAATGGCCAAACAGAAAAGAGTCAAGAAGCAAGAATTCAAAAAAAATGAGGAGAGGCTTAGGAACCTCCAGGACATCTTTAAACGCTCCAACATCCAAATTATAGGGGTACCAGAAGGGGGAAAGGCACAGCCACCAGTGGAAAACTTATTTGAACAAATAATAAAGGAGAATTTCCCCAAGATGGCAAAGGAAATAGACTTCCAGGAAATCCAGGAAGCTCAGAGAGTACCAAAGAAGGTGGACCCAAGAAGAAACACACCAAGGCACATCATCATTACATTAGCCAAAATTAAAATGAAGGAGAGAATCCTAGAAGCAGCCAGAGATAAGGGGACAGTCACCTACAAAGGAGTCCCCATCAGACTGTCAGCCGATTTCTCCAAAGAGACCTTACAGGCAAGAAGGGGCTGGAAAGAGGTATTCCAAGTCATGAAATCCAAAGACCTACAACCAAGATTGCTCTATCCAGCAAAGCTTTCATCTAGAATGGAAGAACAGATAAAGTGCTTCTCAGATAAGATCAAATTCAAGGAGTTCATCATCACCAAGCCCTTATTATATGAAATGTTAAAGGGACTTATCTAAGAAAAAGAAGTTAAAGAAGCATGAACAGTGAAAGGACAACAAACTCACAGTTATTAACAACCACACCTAAAACGAAAGCAAACTAAAAGGACAGCTAGATCAGGAGTGGAAACATAGAAATGAAGATCTCAAGGAGGGTTAGCAAGGAGGGGAGTGGGAGGAGGAGAAGGGGGGAGAAGGTACAGGAAATAAGTAGCATAGACAGTAGATAGAAAATAGATGGAGGGCAAGAATAGCATGGGAAATATAGAATCTAAAGGACTTGAGACACATGGTCATAAACTGAAGGGGGGGTAATGGTGGGGATGGGGGGGTAGGGTGGAGGGGAATGAAAGGGGGAATAGAACAACTGTAACAGCATAATCAATAAAAAAATTAAAAAGAAAAAAATATATAAAGAATAGCAGCAAAATGGAAATAAGCAAGGTATGTTCCTGCTACCAGGAAACAGTAAGTGGACTGTAAGGTGAATAATGGTGTTACATTAAGGTAAAAGTGGAAGCTAAAAAAGTGGGCTTAGGTATAAGTTTTCCTAAATTTTTAAATATGAAAATACGACACATGAATGACTGCTGGTCTGCTTACCATCTTCCCAGTTAGACTGATAACTCTAAGTTATCACTACTCCATGAAAAAATCTAGCAACATGATCCCTATCCCTGCCACAACTTGGGGCCACAGAGGAAGGGTGGGAGGAACTATGGTATAATGTGCCTGTCATTTGGAACGGGCATGTGAGAAATCTTGATTTAATGCAATAATTCTTTCAGCGTTATGAGAACTCCCTCACAACCCATTTCCAAAGGAAAAAACCCACGAAAAAGTTTTATACATACATATAGAATAGTGTGTATCTCAATGAATTATCATTAAGTGAATATAAACATCTAATGATCAGCTGGATCATGAAACAATCCAGAGGCTATCATGCAGGATTCCCTGTATAAAGTTAAAACATTTCAAAGACTCAAATAATAGCAGTATCACTTTGGTCTTTGTTGATATGAGAAAAATACAAAATATCCCAAATCTCTGAACACTAACATATTTCCTAGTGACTAAAATTCAATTGATCATAATCACATCTACAATTTTAAAAATTATAATACTCATTCAACCAATCTATGCAATCGTGTCCGACTCTCAGGAATCTACTAATTGGGAAATTTAGCATTAAGAAGTTCTACTTTTGGGGTGTATATTACATACAATGTAATATACAGATGTTGTATTACAGAACTGTATACTTGAAAGTTATATAATATTATTAACTGATGTCACCCCAATAAATTAAATTAAAAAAATTAAAACTCCTACTTTGACAAACGAAATGGGCAAATAAAACAGGCATCTCTTTCCTTGACTGGCAAATCTGTGAACTAAAGCAATTGCATAAGATGTCCTTTAAAAAATCAACTTTAAAAAAAGAAACCATTTTATCTTATCATGCTTACCAAGGAAAAGAGCTATTTTTACTACATCTGTGGGACACTCCAGTCTTGATTTTACATGCCCTATTAGCAGCATTTCCAGTGAGTCTCTTGAAGAGATCTCTGCCCTTGCACCCCTCAGTTCGCACCGTTCCCCAGCACCAAGCACTCTCTTCCGAACTCCTGTGCAGGCTCCTCCTTCTCTGCATTCCTTAAATGTGGGCATTCCTTAGGGTTCCACACTTCTCTCCCTACAACTTTCTTACTCACTTCTAAGACTTCAGTCATCATCTGATGACTCCCCAAATTCACAGCCTGTTCATCCCTTTCCTAAGTGTCAGATCTTCACATCTAATAAGACCTCCTCAGATGAGTATCTCAACTCACATGCAACATGTCTAAAAACTGTTCTTCCCCTACCTGTGCACCAATATGGAAAGGCAGAAACCTGGGCCTGTTCCTGGAGTCCTCCCTTTTCCTTCATTAATCACCACATCCTTCCATTTTACTTTCCAAATATCTAATTTCTCCACATCTATCCCCACTGTTCTCTCCTACCTTTCCTAGGCTATATTCAGTTCTTACCTGTAATACTGAAAAAGTCTCCAAGCCTGTCACATCTCTCAATTTCGACTCACTCTCCTTACTACAGGAAGCAAGAATAATTTTTCTGAACTGTAAATCTGAAAACCTGATTTGCTTAAAACCAATTCCTGAAGACCTGTACTTATTCTTGCAGATCTTTTTAGTTAGTTTTATCACTCCCAACCTCCTCTTAATGGGCTCCTTGCTGCACAGATAAGTTCTTTCGATTCCCCTGGGGCAAAATGCTATCATTTGCTTCTGGCCTCCAAATGTTTTCTTTTCCTCTGAGTCCCCTATAAGTAACATTCTTTCTTTTCTAGGCTATTCACCTGATTAAAATCTATTCAACCAAACTCTTTGTTAAGGTTTCAGCAAAGATTCTATTTCCTTTAGAAAGACCCCCCTACCAGTGTTAAAAGTGCTTTCCGACATTCATTATTCT